AACCACACCAGCAATCTACTAAAACACTGGGAAGTGAAAGCAAACTCTAGTTGTGTAAAAGCAAGGAATCAGTGTGCAGAACTTTAAATTTCTCACCCCATGAGCCACCTGAAAGGGGAAGGGAAGGCAGGATCAGCCCCTCAGCCCATCCAGCACTTTTGATGCAAATCTTCCTTCCATTTCTCCTTAGCCTTGACTTCTTTTCAGACTATTTTTCCAGGTTTAGGTGGAGTTCTGAGTTACTTTAGTCACAAAGCTAAATTTGGGGTAGCATGACAGGCATCTATTCTTTCTTGACAGAAAAATCACAGAGGTCAAAAAGGTTCCCTATTCCCACCCTGCAGGATGGTTGTGAAGAAAGGCTGGGGGACCTTCACTGGCCCCATTCCTCAGTACATCCTTTCACACCAGGTGTCTCTCAGGGTTTTTCTTTGGGGAGACCATCCTGACCTTCATGTTATCCGGGAACTGGAGTCTTCTCTTTCTCATCAGATGTGCCAGTCCTTCTTCTTCTTCCAGGTTTGAACTCTATTCCAGCCCCAGGTCTCTGCTAAACAGGGGTCACCAGGAATGTTGGTCACCAGGTCTGTGCCCAACGGGGGTCCCTGTGGATCATCCAACGCGGGTCCTCCGATGGCTGATGGAGTTGGAGCAGCGGCCGAAGCTCTTCCCGCAGTCGGGGCACTCGGGGCTTCCATTACTGGTGGGTCTGTTGGTGGGAGGTCAAGTGAGAGCTCCGGATGAAGCTCTTCCCACACTCCCCACACTTGTGGGGCCTCTCTCCGGTGTGGATGCGACGGTGGGTGTGGAGGGTGGAGCTGTCCCTGAAGCTCTTCCCACACTCCCCACATGTGTAGGGCCGTTCCCCAGTGTGGATGCGATGGTGGGTGTGGAGGGTGGAGCTGTACCTGAAGCTCTTCCCACACTCCCCACATGTGTAGGGCCTCTCCCCAGTGTGGATGCGACGGTGGGTGTAGAGGGCTGAGCTGTTCCTGAAGCTCTTCCCACATTCCCTACATGTGTAGGGCTGCTCTCCGGTGTGGATGTGCTGGTGGCTGAGGAGGTTGGTGCTGTTGCTGAAGCTCTTCCCACATTCCAAGCACTTGTAGGGCCGTTCCCCAGTGTGGATGCGACGGTGGGTGTGGAGGGTGGATCTCCGGTTGAAGCTCTTTCCACATTCCCTACATGTGTAGGGCAGTTCCCCAGTGTGGATGTGCTGGTGGCTGAGGAGGTCGGTGCTTGTACTGAAGCTCTTCCCACATTCCAAGCACTTGTAGGGCCGTTCCCCACTGTGGATGTGCTGGTGCCTGAGGAGGTTGGTGCTGTTGGTGAAGCTCTTCCCACATTCCTCACATGTGTAGGGCCTTTCCCCACTGTGGATCATCTGGTGTCGGAGCAGGTGGGAGTTTCGTTTGAAGCTCTTCCCACACTCCCCACACGTGTAGGGCCATTCCCCAGTGTGGATGTGCTGGTGCCTGAGGAGGGTGGTGCTCTTGCTGAAGCTCTTCCCACATTCCAAGCACCTGAAGGGCTTTTCCCTGCTGGGAGGCTGCTCAGGGACCACCAGCTCACAGCTCCGCCTCAAGCTCCGGCCGCCTTCCCGGCACACGCTGGCTCTTTCCTCCTCACAGCCCCCTGGGATGGCTTTGCAGCCCCTCCTGCGGGGGCATCTCCGGCCCTTTTCCTCCCCGCTGCCTTCCTGCGCCGGGGAGCCCTTCAAAACGGCCTCTCCCACCAGGCTCTGCCGGGGGGATTTGTCCTCCGCGCTCTCCGGCCTCACCTCGGGGCCTGGGGCAGGAAGCAACAAGGACAGGCAGGGGATTTGCCTCCGGCCCACAGGGAAGCCCAAGGACATCCCCCCAACTCCGGCCCCAGCAGGACGGCCACAAAAGACCCACCCAAAGGGGCACTGACTTCCTCCTCACCTGCCTGGGGGGCCCAAGGCATCTTCCTCTTCCTCGCAGCCTCCTCCTCCATCCGCCCAAGCTTTGGGAAGCAGAAATCCTGCTGGGGGAGGAAACAAGGGCTGAGCGCGTTGTCTTGAGGGTTCCTCCTGACCAAGTCCAGTTCTAAAACTCCTTGGGCATCCTGTGTCCATAAAAACTTCCAAAATACCAAGATTTAGCCCAGAAAAACAGAAAACACCAACATTTGGGAAAAAAAAATCCCAAAACTCTCCACAAATCTGCAAAAGATCAAGAGTCAGAAAGAAATACTCCAAAATATGAAGATTCAGCTCAAAAAAACCCTCCCAGAAGTTCTCCCTCTCTGGTTTCTGCACCTTTAGCTTCTGGGCTCTCCCCTCTCTGGGCTGCTGGGGGTCCCACTTAGGGATGCCGGGGCTTTTGGGGGTCCGTGGGGTCCCTTCTCCCCTCACTCTCTGCTTCAGGGGGCCGGGTTCCCAGACATTTCCCCTCTCCGCCTTCTCCACTTTCTTGGCCCGGGGATCCCAGGGGTCCCCACTGCCCAGGCTCCCCCTTCTCCGGGACCCCCCTTGCAGCCTCCCGGGGCTCCCCCCTCTCCCTGCTCCCCCCTCTCCCTGCTCCCCCCTCCAGCCTGCCGGGGGTCCCCCAGCTCCGCCATCGCCCCGCTCCGCTCTCCACACTCCGGGGCTCCCGCCCTTCCTCCCCCCACCCCCGGCTCTCCCGAGGGCTCCCCAAACCCGCTGCCTCGGCTCCCTCCGGCTCCCCCGCACCAGCCCCCCCCGCCCACACCGGCCTCACAATGGAGCCAACGGGGCCTCACCCACCAACACCAACCCCCAACAAGGGGGGGACCCGCAGCCCCCCGACCACCCACGGGGCTCTGCCCACAACCCACCCCGACACCGCCCCAAAACACCCACCGGGGACCCCCAACAGCCCCCGGCACACAGCCCCGCACAAGGGCCGCCTGTGCCCGAGACAACAAAACGCCCCCACAGCCGGGGGGACACCAGAGGCTGCCCCGGGCCAACGAGAGCAGGGAGCGGATCGGGCCCCGCACACGTGGCCGGGCTCTGGCTTCAGCCGCCCGGGATCGGCAACCAACAGCACGGCCCCGACCGCCGGCTCGGCACAGCCAGCCCGGGGCTGTCCCCTCTCCAGGGCCCCCCCTCTCCACAGATCAAGGCATGGGGACACCGAGGGACCCCCAAGGGAACCCCTTGCCCGCTCTCCCACCTCCCCTTAGCCCCCCTCGCCCATCCCTTGCCCACCGGCCCCCCAAACCCCGGCTCCCCCCAGCTCCCTTTGGGGCTCACCCACCGCCCCCCGCGCTCCCTTTGGGGGTCCTACCCCCCGTTTCCCTCCCTTTCCCCCCTTGCCCATCGGCTCGGCCCCCTCGCCCCGCTCACCCGAGAGCTCCGCGGCCGCAGCGATGCAGCAGGAGAAGGAGGGGCGGCAGGAAGGGCAGGGAGAAAGGCGGAGCGGGAACGGGAACGGGATCGTCCCCCCCGCCCCATCTCGCGGGGGATCGGGAAGGGGGAGCTCGTCCCAAATATCTTGCTGGGGGTTTTGGTGTTTGTTTCTTTTTCGGCGGAGGGGTGGGAATAGGGGGGAGAATGTTTGGATCTTACAGGACTCCAAAGCTGAGCCGCAAATGCCCCTTAGGGGGATTTTGGGGGTCCCCGGTGGGTGTTTTGCGGCGGTGGCGGGATGGGTTGGCGGCAGAGCCACGAAAGTTCAGCAAGGGGCAGTGCCGGATTCTGCCCCTGGGATGGGGCAACCCAGATGTGGGGACAGAGTGGGAATGAGAGGCTGGAGAGCAGTGCTGGGAAAGGGCCCTGGGGGTCCTGGAGGTGCCCACTTGGCCAGGAGTCAGCAGGGCCCTGGCAGCCAGGAGGGACAACCCTGTCCTGGGGGCATCAGGCCCAGCATGGCCGGGCCAGGGAGGGGATTGTCCCGCTCTGCTCTGCCCTGGGGCGGCCTCACCTCAATAGTGGGGCACTCTGGGGGGACACAATGGAAGGAAGAGATTGAGCCAGTAGAGAGTGTCCAAAGGAGGCCACCAGGATGGAGAAGGCTCTGCAGGGGAAGCCTTAGGAGGAGCAGCTCAGGGCACTTGGGGTGTTCAGCTGCACAAGAGGAGACTGAGGGGAGACCTCATGGCAGTTCCAAGTTCCTCAGGAGGGGCAGAGGAGGGGCAGGCCCTGAGCTCTGCTCTGGGGGGACCAGGGACAGCCCCCAGGGAATGGCCTGGAGTTGTGTCAGGGCAGGGTCAGGTTGGATGTTCGAAAGAGGTTCTTCCCCCCCAGGGTGGTTGGCACTGAACAGGCTCCCCAGGGCAGTGGGCACAGGCCCAAGGCTGACAGAGCTCCAGGAGAGTTTGGATGATCCTCTGGGGCACAGGCTGGGACTCTTGGGGATGGGCCTGGGCAGGGCTGAGGGTCTGACTTGATGATCCCTGTGGGGTCCCTTCCAACTCACACATTCTTTCATTCTGGGATTCTGTATCACCCCACCTTTGCCTGCTTTGCTGCTTCTGTGAACCTCGAGTTCCTTCCTTGATTGTTTCTTTCCTTTCCTTGGCTGGTTTCTCTCCACTGGAGTTGGTTACACAGATCTTTTCTAGGGCACATTCTGGACAACCACTGCTGGTTCAGTTCTGTCTCAGAGCCCCAGATCAGCCTTATGGAGCCAAAGGAACCCTGGGACACTGCGGAACCTCATGGGATCAAGGGACCATCGTGACCCTGCGGGACCTCATGGAATTAAAGGAACCCAGGGGCCACTGTGGAGCCTCATGGAACAAAGTTGCCAGTGTGACATGTGGGGCCTCATGGAATCAAAGGAGCCCTGAGACCTTTGGTACCCTCATGGAATCCAGTGGCCTTTGTGACCCTGCGGAACCTCATGGAATCAAAGGGCCACTGTGACACTGCAAAACCTCATGGAACCAAGGGGCCATTCCAGAATCCCAGAATCATCGAGGTGGGAAAAGACCTGTGAGCTCATGGAGTCCAAGCCATGACCCAACCCCACCCTGTCAACTGGACCATGGCCCTGAGAACCACATCCAGTCTTTTCTGAAACACCTCCAGGGACGGTGACTCCACCCCCTCCCTGGGCAGCCCATTCCAACACCCAGCCACCCCTTCTGGGAAGAACTTGAGCCTCCTGTCTGACCTAAACCTCCCCTGGTGCAGCTTTAGGCTGTGCCCTCTTGTCCCACTGCTGGTTGCCTGGGAGAAGAGACCGACCCCCCCCGGGTCCCCCCTCCTGTCAGGGAGTTGTAGAGAGTGAGAAGGTCCCCCCTGAGCCTCCTTCTGCCCAGGCTCAGCAAGCCCAGCTCCCTCAGCTGCTCCTCACAGCACTTGTGCTCCAGAGCCTTCAGCAGCCCCAGTGCCCTTCTCCAGACACGCTCCAGCACCTCAACATCTTCCCCAAAGTGAGGGGCCCAGAACTGGGCACAGCACTCGAGGGGTGGCCTCAGCAGGGCCCAGCCCAGGGGCAGAATCCCTG